AGCAAAGAAGGATTTTCCAGGACAGATAAACTGCAACGATCCCTTTGATCCCAGAGGTTAAGCATTGCTCACAATGGGAGATGAACCACGCGGGGCAGAACGGTGCCCTTTCTGTCTGTAACAATGGCATCACAAACACCACTTAATCAATATTTGGCCAGCGACACCACAAACCGCCTTTTCAGATTTTAATTCCTAGTTGTAAAACAACCATAGGGCAACCAGTGAGATAAGGCATTGCACCGACTGCTTAATTGCCTTTTACTGTCCCACTCGTTATATATGCACACTGTTAATCGCTCCAAACCTTTATTTACCAGTGAACAAATGAGCTGTCAGCAGCACATCAAACCCCGCTAACCAAACAATCTCGGCACATGACACACGGTGGCCCTAATGTGCCCATGGTGAGTTTTAATTTCATTACGTTTCGCTCCATTTTCATTTTCTAGGGGGAGTGACTGGAGGTGAATTAGCACAGCAGCATGGGGCAGGAACACTGCAGGGAAGGGGAGCAGAGCTGGGTCTGCGGTGAGCTCGGTTCCCACTTAGTAGCCAGAGCACAGCAATTGGGGAATGCTGGGACGGGTCCTGCATCCTTCTTTATATGCTCTCCTCTGTCTGTAGCCACACGTGTGTGTCACACAGGATTTAAAGTGACGTTTACATGGAGAAATCCGCACTGAGTGCAGCGCTGTGATTTACTGCTTCACGTTTCACTCAATTTCTCCTTAAATTAACCAGAGAGCACTTTGTAGTTCTGCTCCATTTCCCAATGCAGTTTTACTACACAGCCCTGGGGACCCGCCATAATTTATCACTATCAACTTTACGGGCTCCTCTCGTCTCAGTCCTCATCAATAAGTGAATCTAACACAGAAGCCATCAGAACTGAACCCTCCCCGAGTCAGTGTCAGATAAAAACATCAGCTTGAACTGACACAACAGTAAAGTACCACTTGGAATTAGACCCCCAAAAGAATCTGTCATAAGGATTTAATCAGCATCAACTTTTAATTTCAGCATTAATCTCTAATTAATTTTGTATCTAATTAAAATCTCTGTCTGTCTGCTGATGCCATCGCCACTGCTGCACAAGCAGCTGCTGACATCCCTGCTCCAGCAAGCCCTGCTGGTGCAGCACGCACAACCTGAGCCCAGCATGGTGGCTCTGAGCAGAACGGGGTGGATTCAGGCACCAGTCCTGCCCTGCCCATGGAAACGAAGCACGTGTGAATGGGCTGAACGGGCCCTTTCACTGGGGCTCCTCACATCTCACAGGGTGCATACAGCCACCCCAAAACCCACCTCACAGCCTGAGCTCTGCTGGGGCACATTCCTGCTGATGGCCACAATTTGGCAATCACAGGAAAGTCACAAAGCCGGGGATAAAAACCACAGTTTGGGAGCAAGCCCTTCAGACTCTGACCTCAGTCCTTTCAGAATTACACTAAGTTTAACCAAGTGTTAATTAAGAGTTTTGAAGCAATCCAATCAGATGCAAGCTTGAGTACAAACTCAGGTAAATACATAGGAAGCGATCCCAATATTTGCTGAAGCAAGGTTTGCCCTCGCTCTCGGTGCCTGAGCTCAGAGAACCGTGGCAGGATGTGCCTGGCAGTTCTCCTCCAACATTTTAGGAACTATTTCTGAGTCAGTCAAGCTCCCAAACATGGGTGAGATCCCCACACTGGGGGGGCAGGTGCAGCTGGGTGTCACTTCAGGGGCTGCAGCCGGGACAACGAGCACCTGGGACTGGGAGCAGCCCCTCGCAGGGCAGAGATAGAGGGCAGTCCCTCCCTCCATCAGCTGCCGTAGCAGTTTAGCAGTATTACTAACCCCAAGGGGCTGCAGGCACTGAGCAGCCCTCCTTGCAGCACGCGCCAGCCCCGTGCCCTCCGGAGCGCATGGCACCGCGTCACAGCCCGCACATCAAGCTGCTGATTGTAACACTGCATCTAAATATTTAAGCTGGGGCCGGTGGTCGCGTGTCCCACGCACAGGCAGCATCTGTCCTCCAATTCCATTACAGTGCACAGCAGAAATGCTTTCCCCCAAACTCACGAACAGGAACAGCATCGCTCAGCGAAGCAAAGCAATGGCTGAGCTGCTGAGCAGCGCTTTGTGCTGAGGCCCTTTCTAACCCCAGCCCCCCCCATAAGCTCCCCACATACACACAAAAATAGGAATGGTGCTGAAATTGTATTAATGTGAGCCTCGGGCACAGAGAAAAAAAAAAAAAAAGAAAAAAAGAAAAGAGGAAGGGGAGGGCGAGGGGGGAGGGTTTGGTGCGAGATGAAAGTGGAAGGAAAGAAAGGAGTCAATTTAGCCTGCTGCAGCCTGAATCGCTCCCGGAGCAGCGCTGGGGATGAGTAGGGCCCTTTCTGCGGGCGCATGACTGGGGGAGGATCTGCGGGACGGGGCCCGGGGGCCAATTCCGGCCGCGAACAGAGCCCCTTTGAGGCCGGGCCCGGCACGGCGCTCCCAGCAGCGGGCACACAGCGGCCGTGGGATGCGAGCTCCGAGCGCTCCCTCCCCGCAGCCCTCGTTCTAAAAATAGGCCCCCCGTGCCATATAAAGGCTGAGGTTTCTCCTTCATGTGCTGCCTTTACGGTTTGGGCGGTTAAGAAAAATGCATCGTGCCCACAAGAAAAACAGATGGGCTGTGAAAGAGCCACTATCGGGCGGATAGGAGCCGTGGCAGCCAGGTTGCGTTCTAAATCCATGTCCCAGACCAGGGCAGAGGACAGCATCAGCAGCAGAGCAGTAGTGCAGCACGTGTGGCATCTGCCAGGGATGTGAGAGAGCAAGGTTAAGTGTCTGTAAAGAGCATGTTATTTAAAAGGCTGTTTTTCTCTTCTGTCTGATTCCACTGCTGCAAGAATGCCTCAAATCCTATACAGGGAATCAGCAGCCTTTAAAGTCAGCAGAACTCTGCTTCAGAACCTCCAGCCGAGCCAACACCTCTGTCGTCATGCCCCACAGCCCCTGTGCCACCCCAGCCACAGCCCAGCTCACAGAGCACCCCAGCACACCGCACTCTCCCCACTCTGCAGCACTGCACACTGCTGCTGAGGGCACACAGCACTGAGCACCTTGCTGGATTCTCCCACACCATCCCGTGGAAGCAACACTGTCACCCAGCTCCACACACAGCACCACTGCCCTGGGGCTCTGCAGCCACCGCAGCAAGAAGCACAGGGCTGGGTGCCCGTGTGGGCAGAGTGGAGCCTTCACTCCTCTGTTGGCAATGGGAGTTGAAGTAGAACTTCTCTTTTCTGCATGACTTTGCAAGGAGGGGCAAACCCATTTTAGGGCTGTTTTGCTCCCACAATGAGCTCTCTGCTGTGTTGTTCCCATAGCATCCCATTAGAGCAAGGCACACACACAGAAACAAGTTCTCCCCATCAGCAGCACTCTCGCTGTGGCACACTGGGCACTCCATAACAAAATGAAGCAACAGGATGATATGGGTAAGCAGGAGTGGTTGTGGAGGGAGCTGATCCTCCCTCCTGTTGCCATTCTCTGCCAAACTGGTACCCAGCCCACAAGCACACACAGACACAGCACAGGGTGGTACTGCCCATTGTGTTCAAGAGAATCCTGCCATTAACTGAATGCAAAGGAATCAAAACTGGGCACACATGCCAGCAGGAGGCCAGGAAGGAGGTACACAGGTGCAGAAGCAGCCCAGGCAAAGGTCTTCCCTTCTCTGCGAGGCAGCTCCAACTTAGGTCTAGGGGAGCTCCAGACCCAGCAATAGGAACCCCCGAAGAGTGAACAGAGCCCGGGTGCCTATTTTATGGAGAAGTAGAGAGGTGGGCTATATCAATATATTTTTTTCTCCTGCTGTCTCTGTAAATCACTCTGCTCCATAAAGCTGGAGCGTTATCAGAGTTTCCTATCTGCTGTTTTTAATCTCTGCTGAGACGTTCAGGAAGGCAGAACAGCTCGTTGTTAGTTAATAACCAGGGCATCGAGCTCAGCATTTCCCCCTCAGCACAGCTCTCCATCAGAGGCACCAGGGGAACAGCCACGTGCACATAGGGGCACAGAGAGGCACTCAGGCACCTTCTGGCCCTCACAGAGTTCCTATCACCTCCTGTGTGTGCATTACACACACACACACGAAGATGGGGTTTTAAGAACGGAGCCACAGAGTAACTTTGGAGTGCGCACTCGGGTTTGTTGCTACAATACAAGGGTTCAGCCTGCTTTAAAGAAAGCGTTTTTTGCTGTCCTTCCTGATCGGTTCTCAGCACCTCCAGATGTCTGGAATTACCACAAACATTCTGTAGGTACGAACAGCACTTTTTCCACGGTGGAGAGTCCATAAAACTGTGTGGAGCATCAGCTATTAGGGGCTCATTGAATAATTCATCCCTCATTGCAAGCCCATAATGTCTTTTCTCGGCCTTTTGTGGGGCTGTTTTCTCTTCTTTTCTCCTTGAATTATAAAAAGGTTGCCTTCCTTTGTTCACATCAAGCTGCTGCTAGCTGGAGCTTTGTCTACGCAAAGCCAAAGTGTGAGTTTCAATGGACTCTCCCCTCTTTGTTTTCCAAGTTCATCTCCAAGTGTAGATTGTGTATAGAAGGCCTTCTTTGTAATAGCTGGAGAAGTTGTACAAATGTTTGACCAGCTCATTTGGTACTTTTGTCTCGCCTTCCCCAGCGCCGTGCCTGTGCCGGGCCGCCAATTCCAGCCCCGGCAGCCCCGACTAAACCGGCCCGGCCGTGTCCCGCAGCCCCCGGCCCGGCCCAGCACATATCAACACAGCTCAAACTTTCCGCAGCCTTCACAGAGAAGCATCGCACTGCGTGACCGCGGCCGCCAGGCTGAAGGCGGTCCCCCCGATTGAGGCCCCGCAGCACAGAGGCTTCCCCCGGCAGCAGCCCGACCGCCCCCCGCGCGTTTCCCGGCTCGAACCGAGTCCGGTCGGACCAGACTCCCCGCCGGGACCCCCCCACCTCCCGCCGCAGTTCCCGGGTGCGGGCGTTACCTCTCTCGCTGAGGATGCCATCGATGCTGTGCTTCGTCTTCTTGTCTCCTTCCTCCGCTTCCTTCCTCTCCAGCTCGGCCTCCTCCTCCTCGCCTTTCCCGAACTTGCTCCGCAGGATGCGGCTGATGGAGCTCACTTCGGGGGGAGTGCGGAGCTGTGACAGCCGCTCCCCCGCGCCGAGCCCTCCTTCAGGCCGCTGCCGTCGGAGGCCTCGCTGTCCTCCCGCGGGGTTGGCACCGCCCCGCGCATTTTCCCCCCGAGGTGACGGGAACCCCCGACACCGCCCGGACTCGGTCCCGCCGCCCCTGCCCGCCGGTACCCTCCGCCCGCAGCGTAACTGAACCCTCCGCGGAGCGTCCCCGGCTCCCTGCGCGACCGCCACCGGCCCCGTTCCCCCCGGCACGGAGCAGCCCGCAGTGCGCCTACCTGAGGGCACGGTGTTGCGGTCGCAGACGCCGTCTTTGAGCAGCCTGTCGCGGATCTCCCAGCTGAACATCCCCGCGTTCTCCCGCTTGTACTCCTCGATTTTCTTCTCCACGTCCGGCGTCGTCACCTGCTTCAGAGCACACGGGGCGAGCGGGAGCTGTGCGGCGGCGGAGCCCGGACTCCCCCGGCCCCGCACGGAGCTCCCGGAGCGGCCGCACGGCCCCACGGGCTGCGCTGCGGGACTGCCCGAGGCTATGGAGGCGGCGGCGTTACCCCGGGGAGACAGAACGGCCCGAACCCGCGGGAGGGGGGGAATGGAGCTCCGCGGGGACAGCGCTTTTTTGTGCGGGGACAGCGCGGGGTGCGAGCAGAACTGTGCGTAGGGAGAGATTGAGCAGAACAAAGTCCGCAGCACTGAACGGAGAGTGGAGCTGGGGCGCTGTGGGGGGACCGAGAAGGACCCGGGGAGGTTTCTCCGGTGCTCTAAAGTGGGGCCGAACTGAAATAAATGCAGGCTGAGGGCCCGCGCTTGGTCACGCGCCTGTAGAAAAATCTGTCGTTTTAACACGAGAACAGAAAGTTCAGGAGCCGCCACTTTGGTAGCAACAAAGGAAAAAATCCGGCCCGCGGCTTTCAACGAAAACTCAAAAAGTTCGCTTCTCTTAGTGAGGAAAATAAAAGATATAAGGAAGGGAGAGGCAAAACTCGAGAGGAGGATCCATATCGCTCTGCGCTGTTGTGAGCGCGAACTTTTTAGCGGCCGCTTTGCAAAAAGAACGGAAGGAGCCGAGCGGCTGAAGGGGCGGCGGGCGGAGCAGGGCCGAGCGGGCAGCGCCGCTCCCGGAGCCGCCCTTTCTCCCTCACTTCGTTTCGGATTATTCCTTTTTTCAAACGCGATTTTCTTTTCATACAAATAATAAATCTTCCTCACAATCGTTTCAAGACCGGGAGCAGCGCGCAGGACCGTGCCCGTGCGCGGCCCTTTGCCCCCTCTCGCTCCCGCCGGGCTCACCTTGGGTTTGCTGCCGCCGATGGCCCCCGGGCGGATGGAGCCCGTCTCCTGGTAGCGGCAGAGGATCTTGGAGACGCAGCCGTGGGACACGCGCAGCTGCCGGGAGATGACACAGGGCCGGATGCCGTGGTGCGCCATCTCCACGATCTTGTGGCGGATATGGTTGGGCAGCGGCCGCCCGTTGATGAACACTCCTCCGAGCTGATTGACTCTGCCCTGGCCTAGAGGGGTAGAGACTGGACAAGAGGAGGAGGAAACGGCGTTAACGTTTCCTTCGGACCCCGCGGCGTGCCGGCACCTGTTGCGCCCAACCGGGGAGGGCCGCCGGGAAGGGACCCGGGGCCGAAGTTCCCGAAGTCCCCGCAGCCCCTTCCGACCTCCGCACGCGCTCCGTCCCCCAACTTTTCCCCGCTTTCCGTCCGCCGCCCCTCCTCCCGCCCTCACCTTCCAACGGGAAGCCGCCGCGCGGGTAGCTCTGCCCGGCTCCGGGCCGCATCATCCTGGGCACGGCCCCGGCCAGCGTGGTCATCGCGGCGGCGCGGCGCGCTCCTGCCCAGGTGCAGCTGCGGGAGAGAGCGCCGTCAGAGCCGCCCCGCGGGGAGGGGACGCCGCCGGGGGCGGGGAAGGGCCGCTCCCCGCTGCCCCTTCGTCGGTGACCCGCGCTGCCCCGCGCCGGGAGGGCCGGACCGGACCCCGCGGATTCGGGAGCGAGGCGGGCGGGGCCGGGCGGGCGGCGGCGGCGCTGTCCCGGGAGCGGGGGCCGCGGGGCCGCCTCCATTTATCGGCTCCGGACCCGGCGCGGCTCCGCTGCGGCGCCGCCGCGATTGGCCGCCGCCGCCCGGCCCGGCCGCGCCGCCCCCGCTGATTGGGCGGGGAACGGGGACTCTCCCGCACCGCCGCTGCCCGGGGCGGCCCGGCCCGGACGAGAGCCGCCAGCCCCGGGGGGCTCCGTGCCCCGACGGCTCCGGGAGAGCGGCCGTGGGGCCCGCGCGTCGCTCCTCGCCCTCGGGGTCCCGCTCCCGGCCCGGGGCTCGCAGCGCGCCTTGTAAGCGTGGAAGACGCGGAGGAGCGACCTCCCTTCTCCAACACCGCTACAACCTCCTCCCTCCCTTCTGTTTCTGTAGTTCGCGCCGCCCGGGAGCAGCACCTCCGGCCCCACTGTCGTGGACGGGCTGGGAGCACCGCCGCGGACCTCCGCTTTCACGGACAGACGGACGGACGGACGGGGCGGCCCCGCGCACCCCCGCGGCTGTGCCGTGCGCGAGGCGCCGCGCTCGGCCCCACCAACCGACGGGCGGTTGTTCCCAGGAATTTATTGTAGCATTCAGCCCGAAGTGCCGCAAAAAGAAAGGAGGTGACGTCCGCCCGGAGCCGGGCTGACCGCAGCAGGACATGACGCCAGGAGTGTTGTAAAGGCCGTCTGTCCTCAGAGAGGTACCATTGTGCGCGGCCCTTTATTTACAGCTCGGGAAGTGCCAGCGAGCTCGGCTCTGCGCTGTGAAGTGCCAGCCCGGCTTCCACTGCGCCCTTTATTTGCAATCCTCTATTCAGCGACTGTCACTCCCGAGCCTCGAGTTATTCAGGCCCTTAATCAATCAAAGGGATGAGAGTCGCTCAGGTTCCCCCCTTTGAAATAAAGGAAACAATGTTTTGTGTCGGGCCCGCGGCCGCTTCCCCGCGCGGTTCGGGCGCTCCTTTCGGGGCCGTGGGGCCCAGCGGCGGTGCGGCGCTGCCCGGCCCGGCCCTGCGCTGCGGGGAGCGGATCGGAGCGGGACGCGGCCCCATGCAACCCCGGACGCAGCCGCAGCCCCGGCCGCTGCTCGGCCGCGGGTCCGAGCGGAGTCGGCCGCTTTTCCCGACCATCAGAGCCGAGCGGGGCGGGGAGAAAAGTTTTTACCATGGCCACGGAACTGGCTCGTAAGAAAAGTTCGTATAGCGGGGAGAATCGGAGCCTATTTCTCCCCGTGCTGCCCGCTGCCGAGCACAGTGGCGCTCTGAGCATCGAGCTCCGCTCCTGCGGGACCCGGGCACGGCCTGCGGCCGGAGCTAGGAAGCGTTCCGCAGTGCTATCGAGGCACCGAGTTCCAAAGCACCCGTGTGGGGCTCGGCGGGGATGCGGGAGTATTATTTAAAATAAATGCATCAATAAATAAAAGGGGGAGGGAGGAAGTATTTCAGCTTCACTTTGAGCTCCCGGAACACGGCAGCTCGGGTCCCGCAGCGATCCTCCCGCCGCACCCGGGGCAGCCGCGGGGCGCTCCCGCATCGTACCCGCCACGCTCCGTGCGGCCCGCGGCCGCTTTCCCCGACGGACCCCCCGGCCCCGTTCCGCCGCCCCGGACCCGCGGCTCTCAGTATCTCCGCCCCGCGCACCCACCTCGCCTGGGCCGCCGCCCTCGCTACCAACCGGCGGAGGGACACGGCCGCATCCTCCGCACGAAACTGCTGAAATCCGGGGGAAAAGATGAGCCCCGAGTGCCGGCCCCGCTCCTCCCTCCCCCCTCGCCCCCACCCCCATGTGACTGTCCTTGGGCCAGCGGAGATGATTTCACGGTGTTCCCGTGGAAATGGCTAAAAACGCTCCCTCTAATTACAGAGCTCTTCCAGGCCAGGTGCACTTTTAATTGGATTAGCGAGCGCTCGGTATGAAACCTGCGGCACATCGAATGGGCAGCGAAACTCGGCGCTGTTCGGGACAACGGCAGTTCGTTCTAAACGAGAGCATTGGAAATAAATCAGTTAAACTCTTTCCGCCTTTACGCGCGTACGTTTATTTCTAATAAGGGCGTCATTAGGGAATTTTGCATAGACCTATTTCCAGGGAAGGTGATGCTGGAGAAAGGCGCTGGGGTTTGTGAGTAGGGGCGTGAGTGGAGGAGTGAAAACGAAGGGAGAGGAGAGGAGACCAGAAACTGAGACAGAAAGAGATATATAAAACCAGAAGGAAAGAAAGGGGGGAAAAAGGAAGAAATAAAGGAAAGAAGAAAAAGAAAGGGAAATAAAGAGATCGAGCAAGGCAAGAAAAGAAAGAGAGAGAAGAGAGAAAAAGAAAATAAAAAAATAAAAAGAAAAAAGAGAATAGAAGAAAGAAGAGAAAGGGGGAAAAGGGGGAAGAGAAGATAAGAAAAAAGAAAAGAAAAGAAAAGAAAAGAAAAGAAAAGAAAAGAAAAGAAAAGAAAAGAAAAGAAAAGAAAAGTTTTTTTCCAGCGTGTGTAGCAGTGCCTGTTATTTCTGGCCCTTGTCCCTCACTGCCCCCACAACAAACACAACAGAACCTCTCTGGGGCTGTGCACGGGCCCTGTGTGTCACACTCGGTGCCCGCTGCAGCTCTTCACAAAGCTCTCCTCCTCCTTCCCTCCCACGGAGCGGGCAGCTGTGCTGTGCTGGGTTGCCCTGCAGGGTCGAACTGCTGGGCGTTGCGTGCTGCGGGGCGCTGCGGGTCTCCAGCAGCCGCCGTTCCCCCCCAGCACGTTCGCCTCGCTGCAGTGAGGAGGGGAGGGGTGCGAGTTACATTCAGTTCGGAGCAAGTTTTGGAAAGAGAGTGACCTACATATGGCAGTGCGTGGGGAAATGGCACTGGGGAAAGAAAAAGAAAAAGGAAGGGAAGAAAGAGAAGAGAGAAGAGAGACAGAGGGAGAGAAAGAGAGAGAGGGAGGGAAAGAGGGAAAGAAAGAGAGAAAGAGGAAGAAAGAAGGAAAGGAAAGGAAAGAAGGAAAATGGAAAGGAAAGGAAAGATGAAAAGAAGAAAAGAAGAAAAGAAGAAAAGAATAAAAGAAGAAAAGAAGAAAAGAAGAAAAGAAGAAGAAATCAAGCTGAGCGGCGACCGATCGCTGCGGGCTGCGGGCTCGGTGCAGGCCTCGCTCCGGGCCCGGCGGGAGGTGACGGCGGCAGCGGTAGCACCGCAGTGCCCTCAGACACAGCTCCGCAGGCGGAGCGCGGCCGGGGCCGAGAGGAATCGGAGCCCCTCGGGGGCCGAAACCGCGCGGCGATCCACACGCAGCAGCGGGACTCGTCCCGCAGAGCCGCCGGGAGGCACCGCCCCGCAGCGGGACGCGGCCGTGGGAGAACACATGCGGGTCCCGCCCGCCCCGCACCGCCCGCGGCCGCCTGCGGGGAGCGATGCCCGGCCACAGGGCGGGAGGGTCCGTGCCGGCACTGCGGGTACTTAGAGACAAGGAGCCCCAGGATTAATTGTTAAGACTTTTTTCTTTCTTTTTTCACTTTTTTTTTTTTTTTTTTTTTTTTTTTTTTTTGGTGCAGAAACCCAATACTATTTGGCGAAAAAAAAAAAAAAAAAAGAAATTACCAGCGAAGGGCCGAGGAGATTAACGTTTGGAAACTTATGAAATGTAATCTGCACATCCAATCGATTCCCAGCATATCGGTTAAAAGGATAAAGATGCATATCTCCATGATGGATATTGCATTAATAGGCACATAAATAAAGGTTGAAAAGTCATCACGGGAAGCTTTGAACCTTTCTTCATTGCTTTTATGTCCCGTGCACACGCTTCAGCACCGGCTGATTTTTTCCCCTTTGGTGTCGTGTCCTCGTCAATTTACGGCCCCAGCGCGGCTCGCAGCAACGGGCCCGGAGCGGGGGACAGGGAACAGGATAGGGAGAAGGACAGGGACAGAGATAAGGACAGGGATAGGGACAGGGATAGGAACAGAGATAGGGTCAGGAACAGAGACAGGGCTCCCCGCGTCCTGCCGTCCTGCCCCACGCCCGGGGAGCACCCGAGGAGGACGCGCGGACGCGGCGCGCCTTGGTCACTTCGTTACGATGTGAAAGGGTCGGAGCGCAGCGAACGGAACGGAGGAGGCAATCCGCACGCTCCTCCGCGGAGGGGAAAATCCGCGCCCCGCTCCTCACCGCCCCCGAGGTTCACAGCCATGTCTCAAAACGACGCGTCTAATCCCCGTTAATTGCTTGTACAAACACCAGGGTGATTAATTCCAGCGCTATCGCAGTGCATTTCCATGGGGGTTTTACAGCAGCAAAGAGACCGTTTGGGTTTTACGAACTAAAGGCTCGGACCGATCGAATACATTCTCTCTCGAAGCGGGGGATTTCCGTAGCAGCGGGGGAAAACACGACTCACGGCGTGCAGTGCCCGGGGGCTGAGAAAGGGGGCCGTGTGCCCGGGTGGCAGCCCAGCCCAGTCCCCGTGTCCTCTGCCCGCACTCAGCGCTGCGGGGCCGGGGGTACCGACATCGGTCGGAGTGCAGCCCTATCCGCACCGAGGCTGAGCTCAGCAATAGGCATCTCGTCTGCAGCTGTGTGGTTTTAACGCTTATTATTTTAAAGATTAACTGGATTACAATCTGGAAAGAGAGAACGCAAAAGAGAAAGAGCAAAAAAGAAAATCGAAGAAAAAAAAAGGTAAGAGAACGAAAGAAAGAACAATAAAGGTGAAGAAGGAGTAGGAGAAAGCGAAAGAAGAGAGGAGAGGAGAAGAGAAGAGAAGAGAAGAGAAGAGAAGAGAAGAGAAGAGAAGAGAAGAGAAGAGAAGAGAAGGGAAGAGAAGGGAAGGAGAAAATAGAACAATTGAACCGAGGAACACAGGGTACGAAGGCAGGCCGTGCAGGGCCGGGTCCCCGCTCCGTGTCCCCCGGGAGGTCGCTCCCCGCTCCGAGAGGTTCATGCCCAGCACCGCCCTGCCCGTGCCGGGCGCTCCACGGGCGGACAGCTCCGGGTCGGCGCCTCGGAGCGCTGCGGCAGCGCACCCCGCCTGGATGGGCTTCGGGCT